AATTAGACATAAGATCGCCATACTTCATGACATCATATAAGAACTCACTCATTTACTACATCTTTAGTCATAACCAATTTAGTTTATATCATGGGTAAACCCCCTCACAGTCTCTTCATAAGTTCACTTGTGCTATGTACACATGGAATCCCATTCTGCCATATACACTAAGAAAACGCATAATCATAGTTCATGTCTTGACATAAAAAAATTCAACCTTAACAGGCATTCATATTCATCATACATAAATTCATTTAATAAGATGCTCCAATCCTATCCTTTCTTTAAGTCCACTTGTGCAAAGCATGGTAGGGCCCATAGTCGTACCTATACTAAGTAACCTTCTCAAGGAGTTTTGATTACAGTTCATATTCTTATCTTAGTTCATTACATAACTTTTTGGATACATAGTCATAACTAACATAGACCATGTGAGCTACATGGAATCCGGCGTTCTACTCCCACACTGAAAAGAGAGGGTACCTTGACTTACTAGACGTGGAGATTTAAATCTCATAAGACACATCTATGCTGGGAACTCAAACTTATTAAATGTGAAAGTTCTCTTGTGGGAAGCCATACATGCTAAACATGAATCCCCCACTCTCATTTTTCATGTTCACTCGGTGCTAAGATCAAACTCCCCTTTTAAACATCTCTATGCCTTTCGTTAGCATTAGTTCATAAAGTAGGCTTTAGGGACTTAATCTCTCATATTTCAGAAAGCGCAAAGGTTACTAAGATGAGAATGTCTTTCATCATAGAACCTACATTTTGTGAGAATATCCTTTCACATAATGATATCCTATTCATAATATTGTCTAGTTTATAGTACAATTGAGTAACACCCTTTAAGAACTCACTTCTAGATAATAATAAACCTTATTGATTCGTACATTCATGTGTGTGTCTATATATATAAGTGAAAAAGTCGTTCACATAAACACCTTTGGACAACACATGTTTATAATTCACTAGTTATATACTTTTCATGCATAAGAAGATATAAAGGTGCATATGAGAATTATCCTTTCAATTCACACCATAAACATATCATACTCATAGTTATGCATGGGTGTGTGTTCATATTGATCATCATGATCACATAATAGAAACAACTTAGTTACTTAGGAATTCCCCCTAAAAAGGATCAGAACACATATTCAATTTATCCCTAAAGTCATGAACAACTCATATATAGAACGTTTACGGAATCTAGGTCACACACCCACATTGCATCATATGAGACAAGTATATTTAACATTATAATAGAAGAATACTAACATGCATTAAATGAGATATTCATATAGGTTGGGGCCATTCTACAATGGTATTCATCACAACCAAACATGTAGACCGTACCTTGCCCTAACATCAACATACACCTTATACTTCACATCATTAATACAGCTAGGTCATGATCTTCGAATTGAGGACTACAGATAGAACCTTCATACTCATGATAATCATCACATCAATCCAATATATATATATTTACCTCAAGGTCATGATCACAACATGTAAAGGTAGACAAGAATGTAAACACCGCCACCATAAATGGACAAAACCATACATTGTCAATCCCAATACCTATAGACTAGGAATTAGGTAAACTTACCAATACTCCAAACCATGATCATCATACACCAATTATAATTAATTAAAAATAAATTGAGATAGATAGCCATAGCATAAGACAATACATCACAATCCAATCACTATTCAATTAACATCTAATTATGATCACAAGACCCACATTATAGGCTAAATTGAGAGATAAAAGCGATCATGGGTTCTTCATGGAAAACATTGAAAGTCATCATAAAAACACATATTAAAAATATATTAATCACTATAATGACTTAGAAAATCATTTGACAATAAACTTATGGTTAAATTGAAAATTAGGAATTTTGATCAAAGATTCTCTTTGGAAAATATTTGGTAGAACTCCTTGGATGAAAGGTAATAAAAGGATAAGGTAACCATACCTTAATATAATAAAAACCCATGTAGTTTAGAGAACAAAACACATGAAAATCTATCTTCTAGCTTGAGTTTAAGATTGGCCTCCGATAGAGGTTTGAGAGAATTTTGGAAGAAAAGAGGGTTTTGGATTTTATGATTTTTCATTGGGTATTGATGTTTTTCCTTGGGAATGGGGGTAAATATGAATTTAAACCCGCTTATAGCCGACTTCCAAAGTTTCCAAAACACACCATACTTATTTGTACTTTTAAGCATTCCAACATGACTTTAAAACGACGCAACCAGAACTGGGACATGGAAGCCTATCGTGGTTCCCATTTTGCATCACGAATTACTTGACGCATGAGCCTCGTGAAATTCGGGCAACGCGGAGGAAGATTGAGTTCCAGTTTCACAACGCGGACTGGACTCCAATTCTAGTTCTGCACGTTGCCTTGGTAGCTTCCCTAGCCAATGGTCGGGTCCTGCTCAATGAACCGTAGGGTTGTCCTCGAGGATTTGTACCCAAATTTTTTTACCCTAAACATATTTATTAATACATTAGGGTCACCTCCCCTGTGTTAAGACTACAAAAAACTCATAGAAACATGTATAACATACTAGAACACACCAACATGTAAAAGACTAGTTTCTGAACGTCTTGGTTGTCCCTTGACGTTTGAGTTCCAAACACTCTAAAACTGACATATAAGGCTATTCTTCATTACTTTAACAAGTTATTAACTCATAAAACTCATGTGAGGATCTAGTTCATCCTATTTCATTTTGAGGGTCATTACAAAAACGCATGTCTCATTAGCTATCTAGTACAATAGAATGAAATTCGTTCTATACCTTTCTTCATATTAGAGCTGAAAAATAATTAAAAAAAACTTAAAACAATGAAATATATATCCTCGAAGCACGAGGACTCGCCAAGTCTATAAATCGATCAAATAGACATTTAGCCACAAAATGGGAACCTGAATATTAGACCCTACATTTGGGTAAATGTAGGCAAGATTAAGCGTACGTACAAAATATGTACCAAGTATGATAGTAATGTGTATATATATCAAAATTATGCTACAAGGTCACTACACGTGTAATAAATGAACTATCTAAAACATGCATATTTAAAGTTAGAAATTATAAGTCATAAATCATGGTCAATGCAAGTGAACAACATCTGAAAACATATTTACGACACTTCTTCAAGTAACCTTGGTTCCTCATAACATTGCTTGTTTGTGGAAACATACCTTAACCGACATATGTGATCATGCGAGCCAATGGAATCCGATGTCTCCCATACCAAAAAATTTGTCCTAATTACCAAGGTAAGCACCATGAACTTCTAGGTGTTGTGGATACACTAGCTAATGTCTATCCAGGAAACCCTATTCTAGCACATAGTTTATGTGACATGGTTAATCAGTTCTTTTCACTTAATCGAGCGCATGGGTAATTGCCTCTTGATTTTAGATTACTATAATCCCTTAATCATTGGTTCGTATTGGGTGAGAAAAGCCTTTTTATCCTTAAGAACCCTTATTATTGGAGAAAACCTTTCACAATTATATTTCATGTATCTACATTAGAAAATCTCTCTCCATAACATAACAAAAACATCATCATTGATACTTCACTCTCAAAGTATCCTTACAACATTTACATAAATTCCATAAGAATATGCTTCGTTTCATAATTCTCCCCTTTCATAATTCGAAGCCCACATCATATCACCATAACTTGGAAAACATGAGACTTGCATGGGTTCATGGGGAATCATAGTAAAACCATAGAATTTTCATGAATTCACGCATACGAAATCATAATTCAATAATTTATTTGAATAAGCAAGAGAACCAATAACATTGATAAAAAGCCTAACTCAATTGAAGATTTTTAACTTTGAAAATAAGAGAATTTAGGAACTCCATAAATGTAAGGAATGCATGGATGAAAACTATCGTACTTCGATTCAAATTGCTTAGATTCATTAGAGGATTATGGACTTGACTTGAAACTCTAGGTTGATCACTTCTTCTTCAAGCTTTCTGGAGAGTGAAATATTTGGGATGAGGAAACTTGATATTGTTTTTTAAATTTGGGAGAATGATTTCAAATGAGAAAATTTGGGGATTAAAACACTTATATAGCACTTTAGTGAAGGGAAAAAAAACGTAGTGTTGGGATAAAATATTCAAAAAAAAAAAAAGACCCAAAAGCCCTTAAAAGTAACTATTGACCCCAAACGATGGCCTAACCGACAATCTATTATCCAAACTATGGGTCGTTCTATTAGGGAATCATTTGGATCAGATATTATATCCAAACCATGGGTCGTTCTATTAGGGAATCATTTGGATCAGATATTACAAATGCCTTGTCCTCCAATGACGGGAACTACCCACGGACCGTGGTCCACTCGACGGACTGTGGGTCCTAACCGTGGTTCACGATTTTCAACTTCAAAAACCTTCTTAGTCTGGGACTCACCTAAGGAACCTATCAAATGATCGTGGATTGAAGTGCATTTTGGTGAACTATTGAAAAATTAAAAAAAAACATAAATTTTTGGAGAATAACTCTTCAAACACGGCCACTAGCGACGATCCGTCGATCTACCTATAGTCTGTAAGTGGATTCATCGATGTTGGCACCATGTTTCTAAAAAAATAGGAAATTTCTTGTCTTGTCAAATCCTGGTGTTAGAACCATTCTTCGAAATTTTCATTAAAATTATCATTTTACCCTTTACATAGTTGCCCTGGGTCATTTCTAATGAGTTTGTGAAGTTGGTTTTGAAATTTGACATATAAGTTATGACTTTTAGATGTTTTTTTTGAGTTCAAAGGTCTCAAGTGTTTAAAATTTGGTGTTTGCTGGCAATCGGAGTTTCGAGTCTCAAATTAAAATTCCACTAGTTGCATCATTATTGGATTATGGAATCTAGTCTAGTAGAGTCCTAAGTTTCAAATTCAGGGTTTTCTTCAGATTTGCGCCCTTGAGTTGGATGTTGGGTGATTATGACTAAGGGTTGAGTTTACTCAATATTCAATGTTTAAATGCTCGAATTATATTTCTAACAGTTTTATTAGATTTGAGGGATGATATTAGGCCTAGATGTTGTGTTGGTTAATTGTTTGGAGATTCTGAGGGCAATTTATTTTTGTGCGCATTACATTAGCTTAGTGTGAATTTCACAGATTTCGGGTCAAAGAGATTTCATATTTATATTTTGATGATTCAATTGAGTCTGAAATATCAAGTCTAGTTTGGTGAGTATCTGATTTGTGTACTAGACTTTTAAACAAATTTTGAGGGTCCATTGAGGAATTTTGGTGTCATGTCTGAATTGCCAATTTCTCTAATCTCGAGCAATGTAATTTGTACATCATTACTACATTATTATCTCTCGCGATCACGTCGAGTCTTTTTTGTGTGCATCACAATCGTGTGAACCCTGCTGCGATTACATAGGCTTGATTTTCTGGCCATCGCGTTGGCATGAATTCCAATTACGATAGCGATGTTCAATATTAATGACTTGAACTTCTTAACTCATTGCGATCACAAATTTTTGGTCATCGCCATCATGCAAAGTAAATTTTACCTTGCAAAATATGTTTTCAAAATGAGTGTTCCAACTCCATTTTACCATTTTTGAATATTGAGAGCTCAATTTTGGTGATTCCAAAAGTAGTTTTCAAAATGAGTGTTCCAACTTCGCATCTATCGCTCTTATATGAGTTTTAGGACAACTCTTGGGGAGATAAGACAAGTATTGTCACGTCAACTTTTGGATCGTGACAAAAAGTTTAAATGTGTTACCCAGAATGTAACCAAATCTTTTTAGCATGTATATGGACTTGCTCTCATTTCTCCATAATATTCAAAGGTGTCAGGTAGTCCACATTTTCAAGGTAAATATATACCATATTTAAGAAGAAAGCTTGACTCTCCAAAGTTTGATCCCTACTTATCTTGAATAGACATAGAAGTTTATATACCATTTTAAGTAGGAGCACAATTTCTCGCACAAAATAAAAAAAAATTAACTTCTATATCACCCACATAAAAGACAATGAATTACACTAACATGAAATCATAGTATCTCGAAGCTTTCTTTATGCTGAAATTCTGATTTTAGTTGCAAGTACATAAGCTGATAAACATCATGTTCTGCATTCATAATCCTAATCCATTTCTGGACATAACGAACTAATTTATAAAATTAATAAAACATTCTAAATTCTGATTCCTTGTGATGATATAGCAGTTGCTACCATTTGTGTTATGATAATATCATATTGTACAGCTGTGTGTTGTGAAGTGTACTGATCAGAGAGACCGTACTCAGCAAAATTTGGTTCAATGTGAACAAAATGACCTGGTAATGATCTTTTCCCAAGAGCTTCCTTCCATATGTCGAAGAATTCACCCATAATCTGGTGTGATATTTCCCACGAGGAAATCGGTAGATACTCTATCTAAAAAAAAAACATCATAGGGAAGACCGCATAATCATAATAGAAAGTTCTTATATTTTGTGTTGTACCATTGCAATGAGTATGTGGAGAAAGTACTAGAAAGCTATAACATGCTCTAAGATATTTCATAAATTTTTGTATGAATCTTTAATCACCGATCCTTGCATGAATATTGGTTCCGCTCGAGAGGCTATGAATCGATTGGACTTGCCAATCGTATTGCCAACAAATACTGACTTAATCCATATTCATCCGATGATGATACCGTTGTATTTTGCATAGCTACTTCTTCTAAGGTGATAATAAGTAGGAAACAATGTCTTTCAACTAGTCCCATCATTTCCAAGTAAAAACATTTTTACTTGTTTATGTGACCATCTTTTAGCATTTAAACCGACAAAAGATGTAATTTATTTTAGTTAAAGTGCAATAAATTAATTTCATTTCATTCATAATATAAATTATAATATATCAATGTATCAAAAAGGTTTAGCCACATAACAAGCATTCAATTAACAATAAAGATCTAAAAGTATTTTATACCTCCATAATTATTCCCCTCATGTTCTCAGAATTATTTGGAACAGCTTTACCCACTCGCACCCTGAAGTCATCAAGTTGATACTGAAATCCCTATATAGGTAAAATATTTATATGAGTATTATGAAATTGTGCTTTGTAAGTTCTTTTCTAGAATTTTTAAACAAAAGGAAAAGCAGTGCAAATAGTGTTAAGCATAAAACAAATGTCTTTGGCAAATCATGATAGAGAACATACGATCTTTACCAACAACAAATAATGTTTTTATTATTAAAAGAAAAATCTTGAATATTTCAATGACTTAGTTATTGTTGGGAGAAGTATATTTACCCAATGACCACCCAACTGGATGACACAATTTTATGAGAATCGAAGCCTTATTTTATGAGTGATTGACAATTCAATTAGAAGTACTTATATTTTGTATGTTATCATCACCAAGATTTGTTCTCATCTTAACTTTTTTTTATAAGGGGAATAGTACTATTACAGTAGAGAAGTTCTTTAATCTTCTCAAAATATTGAAGAACAATTGCGGATAGCACTATATAAGTTAATCATCCTCTTATAGTAAGATAGAATAATATTTATCAAAACTCAATAATATAAACCTCAAAAATAAGTGTAACCCTTAATTTGTAGGACTGCAAGGTCTCCATTATCTTCTGAAGAGATGACTCTGCTTCGATGATCAATCGTTCCTCTCTAATTAGCATATAATACTTGTTGGGATGTCCTTGAAGTGAAATCCCCAAATAGTTTTGGGGAAACTCCGATGCATTTGCTTGTTCTATTAAAAAAACTCATCCCACAATCAAATCACTTTCATGAACCGAGGAGTACTTTTAAAAATTCGACTTTACAATGAATCAAGAGGAAAAAATGGATCTACCATTAAGGTTACTTTTACAGACATATGGTGTAATTTATTAAGTTATGGAATACCTTTGATTATAGGCTTATAAAAGCTAAGGGTATTTTTCCATGTTCCATCTTTAACACCATTAATGCTCTCAACACACTGAGATATTTCTGTCAGTATTTGAGTGTTGACTGATGTGCCTGCATTTGGGCGCCAGTGCAAAATCCTAACAAAAAAAAGATAGAAAATTATAAACATAATAATCGATAAGTAATGTTAGTTTCTAGTGAATTTAAAATCGTTACCATTTGATTGGCATGATGTTTACTGCAGATGAAATTCCCTTTTCCTCTAAGTTAAAATATTGACTTGAAAATATATGAAAGTATTCACATGCATTTATAGCAGGACAAATACCTTGAATATAAACAAAGTCATTAACTTAAGTTCATAAATATGATTTTGTTACTAAAATTTCAACAAACTTGCCTTTTTTTGCTTATACCCATTAGGCAATTAAATTAATATTTTTATTCAAATTTTCCTCAAAGATACTAATAGAAAAATAATAACTATAATCCTAAAAGGTAGTTCTAGATAACATTTATCAGGATGGTATCTAATCTACATCATTATTTCTCTTAATTAATATACCTTTTTTAAGAGAAAAATCTTTGCTTTAAAATATAAAAAAACAGTCAAAAATTTCACGCACAAATAAAAATTAATTTTATTAAAGTAGAGTACCGTCTATCTTTATTTAATCTTATATGATTCAATACATTTTTAGTATACTTATTAGGTAATTAAAAATAATATTTTTCTTCTAATTGTTGTGGAATCAAGAGTTTCTCCTAATTTCCCTCTAAGATAGAAATTAAATAATAATAAGGGATAATGCGCTTGTATCCCCTTAACCTATGTCCGAAATCTCAAAGACACACTTATATTATACTAAGGTCATATTACTCCTGAACTTATTTAATTAGTAATTTTCTACACCTTTTCGGCCTACGTGGCACTATTTTGTGGATCCAACGTTGGTTGACTTTTTTTTTCAAGCTAGTGTCACATAGGCGGAAAAGGGGTAGAAAATTACTTATAAAATATATTCAGGGGGTAATAGGACCTTACATAGTATAAGTGTGTCTCTGAGATTTCGAGCATAGGTTGAGGAGGTACTTGTGCACATTCCCTAATAATAAATCTTTTATATAGTTTTGAATAAGAGTTCTCTTTTAATGGTATCTAGTCTACAAATTTTTCTAGTAAGTAGTTTCACAGTATGTGTGCTGCTCTTGAGAATTGTATGTAGTATATGATGTTGTAAAATAGAATAATATTAAAAGATTAAAGTTTTTTAAATAAATAATTATACTTTAAAGAACATAGGACAAGTGTTTTTAAATGATTAATACAAATTTTCATAGAGTTACTTTTATTTTGAGATCAAAATGACCAGCTAATATTGAAACATTTCAAAATATATTCAAAATATAAATATGGGAAGAAAGTGAGATATCTTTAGTAGTATTATTATTTACTTCACTTAATTTTGTAAACAAATTTAACCAACAAAAAAAAATTAAAAAAATATCAATACAAAAAAAAGTCACCAATAGTCTTTTCTCTTAAGCTGATAAACGTAAATGATGGACACCATTAAACTATAATATTTTCTCTTAATTATTCATACTTGAAATTTAGTATGTGCATGACACTAACAAATATTACGATAAATATTTCAATATTTTATATTTATACGCACTCTATATTTTACTAATTAATCTATTAGTAGGACTATCATAGAGAGGTAATCCTACAAAAACAAAGGTACTTTAGTTTTATAAGTAGTGATAATTAAATTAATGTTTGAGTGTATGTAAAATACTTAGTTTGACCAATTCTTGGTCTTAGATATACAGATATATTTCAGTAGCATAATTTAATTTTAATACATGAACATCACGCTTAATGAAAAATATTTCATTTCCTTAAGTTTTTATCTTATGTTTTTAGAATTGTAGTCTTCTCCATTTCTTACCACATACATATCATATAGTTATTGTCTAATGGATGTATCTAGTATATTATAAAATTTGTATAGTGATATATTAGACTTTTTAAAAAAATAAAAAATAGATGAATAAAATTTAAATTAAAGTATTGTTTATAGAATATTTAATTTGATTTTCATATTATTTGATGATCAATCACTATTTTCTTATCTATTTTATATAACTAAAAAGGAGTGTATCTTGTGGCATAAACTTTTTTAAATTAAAATAATCACAAAAAAATAGGAAGAATATATATATATGGAATGATGCATTGCTAATGAAGAAGGACGAGAAAAATATATGTTCATGCTACATTCAATATAGTGTTCCATTTGATTAAAATTTCCTCACCAAGACATAACTTTCTTCATTTTTTTGTACTTACATATCTATTAAAAAAATAATTATTATCATGCTTATATCATCATATTATAAGTAAAAGAGAATTTATTTTCGAATTAGTGGATTTATCATCAATACTAATTTTTCAGAAAAAAACTGCTTCAGTTGAGGGTAAAAAAGTAAAAAATAAAAATCAAAGAAGAAATATCTTACCCAAATCATATGACTTTATTTATATTTATTTATGATTATTGTCTTTCCCGAAACTTTTCTTTTTTGTTAATGCATGAAAATCGTAAGAAAAATTACGATTAAAAATTTATGAATGATTCGCTACATTTTGTTCACCAACTCTTATTTATGTGTTACTTCAAATTTCGTTGATTTTTGAACTTTATCAATTGTTGCAAATAACCTTGAGATTTTTAAAAAGAACAAAAGTAGTCAACTTGAATAAATTGTACTTTAAAAGTTATCGAAAATTCTTTAGTTATAACTGACAAATAGAAGAATCAATGGGTGCTAATTATTCTTTATCATAAGAGTTATAAACTTTCAAAGAAGTTACTATTAATCGAAAAAATCATAACCTTTTCGAAAATTCACCACTCATCTAAAAAGGCATAACCCTTTGAAAAATTTAAAGTCATTTGAAAAAAATCACAACAGTTCAAAAAAGACACAACTCATTGAAAATGTCAAAATCCGTCAAGAAAATTGCAACCCTTTGAAAAAGTCGTATCTCTTTTAAGAACATCATAACCCTTTAAAATAAAAGGGTACATGCTATTAATATAATACAATTAACTAAATTAATACTTAAAATAAATTATGTATTTCTAATTGAGTATATCATAGTAATTCAACATTCAGCTTAGGAGTTCATGCTTTTAAGGTTCTCTGTGTATGTGTGTGTATATATATATGGCCCAAATATATAAATATATGTATATGTATATACATACATACATATATATATATATACATACATATATATACATATACATACATATATAGATATATACATATATATATATATATGTTGTTTCCTTTAGTTAAAAATTATTTAGCAAATTATGAAATTATGTGTGTCAAAAATAAGTGATGGAGTAGCCATTTTCAAATTATTTGAGAATGTATGTGCTTTATTTGAGTTGTTTCCTTTGGTTATACATTTATCTTTTTATTATTATTTGTGTTTCAGAATATTTCAATTTGTTTTGATTGGGGCATAAGAGTTATTTCATTGTTATTTTATATTGGTAATAAAATACTACACGATAAATTAACTTACTATTAACTATTATAATATATAATTATGCTAAATATACTAATATTCTTTCGTATAAATTTTCAATATCATTTTATAATAAGCTTGATTTTGAAATTGTTCAATAAATCTATTATGATTGTAATTAACAATTAATATATAGTTAGTTAAAAAGAACACAATTTCAACACCTTAATTTAATTTAAAAAATTGTGTATTACGGAAAGTCCACAAAGATTTCTTGGTAGAATGCTAACAGGAAAATGAAATTTCAACTCAGAATCGTAAATAGTTGCTGCAAATCTCAATTTGAATTTGACATACGAAATAGGTCTCTTTTTGAAATTAACTTAAATATTACTGGTAATGAAAATCTTATGAGCAAGACCCAAATAATGAAGATTAACAAACCTACAAGCTCTTATGAGCAATAGCAATACAATCCTCTGGTAATACATTCTGTAATCGAGTTGAAAAAATATAAGTGAGGGATCCTTCTGAGATATGACGCATTGTAACAAGGAATATTTCCTTGAATTTCAAAATAAGCCATGTATCTATGTTAATATTGCTCATATTCGGGATAAATTATTCCGCCACCGTGATCCAAACGATATCTGGTCCTTGTCGGATGAACTTGTATGCATAATCGGAAGGGAGGAGGCTATCGTTTTTTTATCCAAATGATAATTTTAATGTTGAAATTAGTTACGCTAGAATTAAATTATTATTTTTTATCAATAACAATGTGATTTATACAATTAAATAAGACAATATGGTGAATCAAAATTAGTAATATTGAGATTACTTTTACTTGGATTAATTTTATTTTTAATCAAAAAATGTGTTATTTGTATTAAAGGGGTATAAGGGTAGTATTAAAATATAGTCTATAATGTAAAAAATAGTATTAAATTTAATTAATCAAACACAAGATTTAATTATCATGTACAAAAATAGTTTTCCCATAATTGCAATATTATTAATTACATCAATTATTGTGAATTAAAGAAAATTAATTTTACATAATTTTCAAATATTTAAATTTAAATATTTTTTTACAAAAAAACTATCATAATTCATTTGTAAAAGTTTAAATCCAATTCAAATAAAATCACATAAGTTGGGAGAACCAAAAATAGTAGATTATCGGTAATATTAATTCTTCTCAATTACCTATGAGAGGTGTTGGAAATTATGCTTTTTAAATTTCAAAATTGTATTAGGAGTTAATTTGTGATTTAGTTAGCTATACTCATGCCTAAAGCTGTCAAAATGGTCTAAGCCCATGGGGCCAGTCCAATCCAACCTAATTCATAATTGGGGTAGGGTAGAAATAGAATTTATCAATCTAATTTAGAACTAGGGCTTGTAAGCTCGGCCCATACTATCACGCCCCTAGTCTACATCCTGGGCATGGATGGAACTCGAAGACATTTGCTGGCCCCGAGCGGACCCTTGGTCTGACTTACTTAACTCAGTGGAAGAGTATATGCATATTTATAAGGATTAATAACATCTAACTGAACTAAACAATAACATAATCTGCCAATGTTAAAAGATTAAACATTCAACTTCGTTAAACTGGTAACCCCAAGTCTTTAACATAATAGATGAAAAGGAAAGACTCAAAGGTCTGACATTTGA